TCTCTCTCCTCTCATTCTCTCTCTCCTCTCATTCTTTCTCTTCTCTCATTCTCTCTCTCCTCTCATTCTCTCTCTCCTCTCATTCTCTCTCTCTCCTCTCATTCTCTCTCCTCTCATTCTCTCTCTCCTCTCATTCTCTCTCTCTCCTCTCATTCTCTCCCCTCTCATTCTCTCTCCTCTCATTCTCTCTCTCTCTCCTCTCATTCTCTCTCTCCCCGCTCATTCTCTCTCTCTCCTCTCATTCTCTCTCTCTCCTCTCATTCTCTCTCTCTCCTCTCTTTCTTCATCTCTCCTGTCATTCTCTCTCCTCTCATTCTCTCTTCTCTCATTCTCTAGAGCAGAGCAGCTGACAGTAGCAAGTGTCTATCCCCAGCCAGTCAGTTTGGGGTGAGGTGTTGACTGCCCTCTCAGTACAGGTGTTGGGTATTCCCCAAAAGGGGTCTGTGGGTGATAACCCCTCCTTCTCAAAGCTCCTGTTACACCTTTTCTTATAATTTGTCTACAGGGATAACTCAAGTCACCTGTATTGGAAATCAGTTTGCTGAAGTTATTCAAACAGAGTTCTTGAAGTTGAAGAAAAGGTAAAAATGTTCTTTTATAAGGGAACCGCATGTTTGGGGAGCGATTACAGCCCCTTCCGTTCCTCAGATATGCCAAGTTTTGTATTATTTTACCCTTCCTCTGCTGGCCAAGTTCCCGTTCATCCCATAAGACCTCTGTCAGCTTCCGTCTCCCTGAAGTGAAGCCTCTTCAGATCCCACCTGCCTGGCAGTGATTTCTCCTGCTGTTGAGCCCCCATCACACTTTCTCATTCTTACTGACATTGGTTACCATTGGTGCCTGACTTCTGACTGCCTCACAGGTCTTCTCTCTCAGCAGGTCCAGGCTCCTCCTCCTCTGTGACCCCTGTGCCCCCCACCCCCAAAGTCACAGCATCCCCACACTTCCTGCAAGTGGCCTGTTTTCATGTGTTTCCCAGTAGGCTCCTGGAGGGCATGTCTGAATATGCCCGGGATACAGCAGGTCAGCTTCTGTGTCGGTGCACTTGGCATCTTCCCATTCCTGCCTTGCAGGGCCTGTGCTAGAAATCACTCTTAAATTGATTCTGTTCTTTTAGCATTTATCTTCTAATCTTATGTAGTTGTCCTTTGCTTTTTGGCTCTTGGTGAAATGAAACTAACAGCAAAGCCTTTTGTATCTGATTCTTCTTTTCATGGGTGATTTGGGCCCATATGAAAAGCAATAATCCAGAATGGGGAAGGGGGGTGGCAGGCAAAACGGTCAGCCAGCGGTCGTGGGAGCACAACTCCTGGCCTGCTTCTGCCTCCCTGGGGCTGGGGTTGCGTGGGGGTTACCTGAGGTGGGGTTTGTTCTCCCTGAGGCTGCGGCAGGCCCCCTCCTCCGTAGGATCCTCAGCTGATGGATGATGATATCCTAACCCACCTCACTGTCCCACACCTTTTTGCTTTAAATGAACAAGTAAGCAGATTCCTTTTCTCAAAGTGTTTACTGCACAAAAACAAAGAAATTTCTTGCTACTTTTATGTTTTATTGGTTGTCACCGCCTGAAAGACTGGTACCAGCCCTTCCTCCCTAACAGTAGCCAGCAGTATCCTCTGATATTTGTAGAGTGCCTTCCTGCTTCTTTGCAGGTTGCTTCTGCATACAGCACCAGAGTTTTTCTCCTCCCAGTCCTGGGAAGCAGGCTGGGGCAAATGGTAACTCCTTATTTTCTTTTTCTCTCTTTTTTTTTTTTTTTTTT